GAGATCGTGACCTGGCTGAAGCCGGACGCTTAACCGACTGCGCCACCCAGGCGCCCCATCCATCTTAAGAAACCAGAGGGGAAAAGGCAAATTAAACTTAAAGCAAGAAAAAAGAAGGCAATAACAAAGACAGGGCAAAAATACATGAAATAGAAAGTAGAAAAACAACACAGAAATCAATGATACCAAAAGTTGGATCCTAGAAAAGACAAATAAAACCTGAATAAGGCCTCACTCAGATAAACCTTTGCTAGAATGATAAAGAAAAAAAGAGAATACATGAATTACCAAAATCAGGAATGAAAGAGCAGACATCACTATAGATCCTACAAAAATTAGAAGGATAATAAAAGAATACTGACAACTTCATGCCAACAAATTAGACAACTTGGATGAAATGGATACATTCCTGTAAGATTAAAAATTACTAAAACTGACTCAAAATAAATACAAAATTTGAATAAACTTAAAACAAATACACAAATCAAATTCCTATTTTAAAATCTTCCCACAAACAAAAGCCCAGGATCATGTATAGCCAAAAGAATTTCAAAAAAGAACAAAGCTGGAGAACTTACACTACTTAATTTCAAAACTTACAACAAAGTATCAGGGTAGCACTGGTAGAAGGATAACCATATAAATCAATGGACTAAGCATATAAAGAAAGAAACACTTCTGTTGTCAGTTAGTTTTTAACAAAGGTGCCATGACAATTCAAGAGAGAAAGAGGAGTCTATTTAACAAATTCTGTTGGAACAACTGGATATCCATATACAAAAGAATGAACTAAGATTCTTACACCATACATAAATATTTACTCAAAGTGGATCTAAGTGTAAAGCTTAAAACTATAAATTTTTTTTTAATTTTTTGAAATGTTTATTTGAGAGAGAGAGAGAGAGAGAGACAGAGAGGGAGGGAGGGAGGGGCAGAGAGAATTCCAAGCAGGCTCCCGGCTGTCAGCACAGAACCCAACGTGGAGCTCAAACTCACGAACTGTGAGATCATGACCTGTGCCAAAACCAAGAGTCAGACGTTTAACTGACTGAGCCACCCAGGTGCCCTTTTTTTTTTTTTTAAGTTTATTTATTTTGAGAGAGAACACAAGCAGGGGAGTGGCAAAGAAAGAGGGAGTGAGAGAGAATCTCAAGCAGGCTCTGAATTTCATGCTGAGCCTGACGCAGGGCTCAGTTTCACAACTGTGAGATCATGACCTGAGCCAAAATCAAGAGTTAGACACTCAACCGACTGAGCCACCCAGGTGCCCCTAAAACTATACATTTTTTTTTTTTTTAATTTTTTTAAATGTTTACTTATTTTGAGAGAGAGAGCATGCACGAGCAGGCAGAGAGAAAGGAAGAGAGAAAACCAAGCAGGTTCTGCACTGTCAGCACAGAGCCTGAAGTGGGCTCAATCTCACAAACCATGAGTTCATGACCTGACCCAAAATCAAGAGTCGGATGCTTAATAGACTGAGCCACCTAGGCACCCCAAAACTATACATTTCTAAAAGAAAACACAGGAGGAAATATCTGTGACTTTTGGGTTAGGCAAAGAATTTTTACATAGACCACGAAAAGTATTATCCATAAAAGAAAAAAAAAAAACCCAAAACACAATGAAATACTACTACAAGGCCACAAGAATGACTATAATAAAATACACCAACTTATATTAACATGCAAAAAGCTATAATTTGTATATCATTATATATACATAATCATTATATCATTATACACACATTCTGCTCAAGAAAGTGTACCTAAAATAATGGAATAGGTACCCTATAACAAAGAGAAGATATATCTTATCCAACCTAAAAGTATACCAAAGCAACTAGTATAAATCAATGAATGATGAAGTAAACGTCCTAAAAAATTAGACTTTTGATTTAAATTGAAAAAATTACTTTTTTCTCTTATTTTAGTTTGTAAAACTCTGAATTCTTATAATGATTATGTATGTGAATACTTTTATAATTTACTATAATTTAAAATAATTATTTTTTAATGTTAAAACTATGGCACTATGCCATATACCATTTCTGTATGAAAATTATAAATGCTAAATACCTGGAGATGTTTCCTCTACTTTTTGGAAAAAATATTAGTATTGGAAACATTAAAGAAATTAAACAAAAGAAAAAAAAAAAGAAACTGACAACACTAAGTGTGAAGAGAATATGAAAGCCTAGAACCTTCATGCATTCTTGGTAAGAATACAAATGTTTATACTCACTTCAGAAAACTGTTTGGCAGTTTCTTAAAAGTTCAACTTAACATACAACCCAGCAGTTCCACTCTCTGTAATCTACCCAAGATAAACAAAAACATGTATCTGCCCAATGAATTGCATGCAAATGTTCATAGCACCATTTTTCATAATAGCCAAAAAATGGTAACGACCTAAATGCCCATAAAGAAGTTATCTTGAATCATGTAACACATTATCATAGTTTTGTTTTCTCTGTACTTGGGGAACACTGTTAACTACAGCTTTATTTTTATTATCTATTAAAAAACAACAAACAACAAAGTCGTTCTGTGAAAATTCCTGATATAATGAAGGTATTTAATAGCTAACTAACTCCCTGTGAAGACTCTCCATCTTTGGGCCATATTGCTAATTCAAAGTTTTTGTTTTTGTTTTTTTAAGAGTTCAATCTGCCAATTAAATTATTAGAAAAATATCCCAAACCTGTCCCTAACTTCTGAATTACATGCGATGGAATAGGGCACTGACGACTTTCACGGCTACAGTGATTCTCAGGTGAATACCGACGGATTATTAATCTTATTGTATGTGGCTTCCTTCCATCTTGGCATACTCTAAAAGTAAAGAGAAAGTGGAAACAAGGAATCAGAAAAGTATTACTTAAAGTTTTTTTTTTTTTTTGAACCTAAGGGTATCACCGTAACAATTATAAACATAGTTGATAACTAGGCAGGAAGCAATACAAGCGTCTGAATAGTCACCAAGTCTATGCACCAAAGCTCTGAAATCTTAAATGTTAAGGCTCTCAGGCCTCACTCAGAATTGAGGGCAATCAGAAAAGAACAGAAATAAGGTACAATTACATAATTATAACAAGCCATTTTTATAATTCAAATCCAAACATAACTGAAAGCAATATATTAAAATCAGCAGGAAATTTAAGAAACTAAGAGAATCATTCACTGACAGGCAAATACATGAAAAATGACAGGAAAAAAGGATTACAAAAAGAAAAAAATTTTAATGAGATAATTTTGTCAAAAAGCACTCCCTGAAAAGATCCAAGGAGACAGTAATACCACCATTATATGGCAAATTAGAGTAATAACTTCAAAGACCAATTATATGCCACATTTAAGAAAATAAGTACACGTACATGCATCTTAAAAAGTGTTTCATTCAAATGGTCTTGGTTTTAGTGTTGAAAATAAAAGTTTTAATGAGATACAAAATTCACTTAAAAAGCAGAAAATCTAATTACTAGAATAAATGTCATTAAAAAATAATATTTTCCTTTTTATATGTATGGCAATGTATTAAAAATCACAAACACAAAATACAAATATTGTACATTGTTAAACATACTCAAATTGAATTCTGAACTAGAAAATTTGGATTTTTGTAAAAAAAAATTTTTTCTCTTATTTTTCTTTCGCAAGACTTGATTGTTGCCTTACTAAAATAATAAGATATCTTAAATGGTTCCTGTAAACACATTACTAGTGTAAATACCTTCCAGTTAAGTGTCTTCTACTAAGTCATTATTCAAAGAGTCTGACTTGGTTCCTATAACTAATTAAGACATATTAAGAAAAGGTCATATTCTAAGCAAGCTTAAACTAGTGCCCAGAGGATGGGTTAAAAATTATGTGATTTTAGAGGCATCTGGGTGGTTGAGTCGGTTGAGTATCTGACTTTGGCTCAGGTCATGATCCCACGGTTAGTGAGTTCAAGTCCCAAGTAGGGATGTGTGCTGACAGCTCGGAGCCTGGAGCGTGCTTTGGATTCTGTGTCTCCCTCACTCTCTGCCCCTTCCCCACTTGCGTGTGCTCGAGCTTGCTCTCTCTCTCTCTCTCTCTCTCTCTCAAAAATAAGCATTAAAAAAAGTTATAAAAAAATTCTATGATTTTACACCTCTTACATAGCTATACCATTAGTTATCATATACTCTTCTAGAAAAAAAACACATTCACACAAACACAATTATTTTTTTGCCCGTCACATAGATGGTATGATATCTCAGTCACTGAAATAAGGGGCCATGGTGTAGAGGGAGTGGCAAGCAGAGAGAAGGAGAAACGGTTCACAGTTTCTCAGTAATTCACAGTAATTTTTTTTTTAAGTTTATGTTATTTTGAAAGAGACAGAGAGAAAACATGGGGAGGGGGGCGGGTGCAGGGAGAGAGAGAGAGAGAATCCCAAGCAGGCTTTGCACTCCACACTGAACCCAATGCAGGGCTCAATCTCACAATGGTAAGATCATAACTAGAGTCAAAATCAAAAGTCAGACATTTAATCGGCTGAGCCACCTAGTCTCATTTCTGGGCTGATTCTTCTGGGCTGTAAAATTTCTGTGGCTTCTCTACCTGCAGAACTCTTGCCAATGGCCTGGCATTTCACAGCAGTCCTCCGTTTAGCTGAAGCAAAGTGGATGACCCAGTTTCAGCAGCATACTCACAGGCCCAGCCTGAGTTATATCACCGGAGCTGGGTCATTCAGCCAGCCGCAGCCCAGGCAGCAAACCATGCGCTCTGGCTCTGCTCAAGACATGAGAACCACACAGCAGGTGACAGCAAAGCTGTAGGAAATTCTCCCTCATCAGTTTACTGACACTTACAGTCATCTAAAACCTTTCTCTCTAGTCATAGTTACAGTCATTACAGAAGCACAGATACCCAAAAGTGTTAGACCCCTGACACCTTACTTTGAGAAATCAAAGAAATGGGAGGCAAAGAGATCATACTCTTGTATGGAATACTGAGAAATAGATATATGATAGGAAAGGAGCATCAGAAACTAAACATCTTGTTCCATTTATGCTATGCTATTCGTACACTCCTAATCCCAGCTGACACTTTCACGTCCTTCCAGACCAGTGCCCCGCACACACTGCCCTCACTCTCCCTGCTCACGCATAGCCCCACTTAGCTATTCCTTTGTCTGACTCCATTTTCTTTCACACAGTCTGAGGCAAAGGAGATAGAAGCGTTCTTCTACTCTCTCCATCACTGTTCGTCTGAATAATTTCCTAACCTCAATCATCACAAATTTGTAGGTGTAGAGATTCCAGATATCCGTAAAACCCTCTTAGATAACCATGAGCAGCTTAAGATCCAAAGGATAACCACAATGTTACTAAAATTAAAACTAATGTAAACGGATTAAATTTAGTTAAGAGTATATGTCCCTATATTTGCAACAGTTTATAATGTAGAGAAATTCAATGATAAATGATCACTCTTTATACTGTTCGGTCTCTAGTTATTCTATAAATTCTAAGAACATCAAGTATACTTTCTATATACTTTACACAGAATATATAGGATGATATGGCAAAATGGAAAATCACCTGTTCAAAAGACTGGCAAGTAGTTCTTCAATCTTATTTTTAGCTTCAACTTCCGATGAACATTTTTTAAATGAATCCTCTTCACTAAAGGACTACCAAAGAAGCACAAATAGGGATTACTATAAACCCAAATAAGCAAGTCCAGTTATGAGCATGGATGTCAAATATTCAGTACATTCTTTACTAACTTCCCTCTGGTGCTCAGTTTCAGCCATTTAGTTCGCTTTTGTATGAGCTCTTTTTATCTGCAAGTTACTGTACTCCACTAGAAAGCTCACTGGAAGTCAAGAAAATTATAAAGCTCTACTACCTGGGGCGCCTGGGAGGCTCACTTGGTTAAGTGTCCGACTCTTGATTTCGACGCATGTCATGATCTCACAGTTCATGAATTTGAGCCGATTCGGGCTCTGCACTGACACCACAGAGCCTGCTCGGGATTCTCCATCTCCCCTCCCCTGCTCATGCGTGTGTACGTGTGTGTGCGCACGCATGCATGCTCTCTCTCCCTCTCTCTCATGATAAACAACAACAACAAAAAGCTCTAGTACCAACTCCAACCTTTATTCTATGATTACAGTAAGGCTCTTAATCTCCTAGCACTTGAATTTGAGTTTAACCTTGGACATGTTACTTAACCTTTCTAAAGTACATTATCCTTATCAATTTTTTTGTAATGTTTATTTTTGAGAGATAATTGTAATTATTTAGTAACAATTTACTGAGTAATTATTTTTCAGAGAGAGACAGTGCAAGCAGGGAAAGGGCAGAGAGGGAAGAAGACACAAATCCAAAGCAGGCTCCAGGCTCTGAGCTGCCAGCACAGAGTCCGACTCAGGGCTTGAACTCACTAACCGTGAGATCATGACCTGGGCCGAAGTTGAACACCTAACTGACTGAGCTACCCAGGCGCCCCCAGTATCCTCATCTTAAAAAAAAGAATGAGAGAGAGGGAAAAGGTATGAACAAATAATAGTACTACCTACCTCAAAGCTTTGTTGTAAAGATTGAATGGGCTAAGGTATGTAAAGCACTTAGTAAAGTGCCTGTCACATAGGAAAAAAAAAATCAATGTTAACTGGGTGATTATACCTGTCTCTATATTTCTTAAATCATTAGACTACTCAGAAAACAAGATTTCTTAAAAACTGAAATATTTTAGCTAATGTATACAATAAAGTCTGTTAAAAATTAAGTGGCATTTGGGGCGCCTGGGTGGCACAGTCGGTTAGGCGTCCGACTTCAGCCAGGTCACGATCTCGCGGTCCGTGAGTTCGAGCCCCGCGTCGGGCTCTGGGCTGATGGCTCAGAGCCTGGAGCCTGTTTCCGATTCTGTGTCTCCCTCTCTCTGCCCCTCCCCCGTTCATGCTCTGTCTCTCTCTGTCCCAAAAATAAATAAACGTTGAAAAAAAAAAAAAAAATTAAGTGGCATTTAATCAAGGTAGCTAACTTGAGGCTGAAATACTAATTCTTAGATTCAATTTAAAAATATTTACTAATCTAATAAATTAGCCTTCTCATAGGAAAGTGATCATGTACTCAACCTAGTAAGCAAATTAGAATAGTAAGAACATAGTACTAAAACCAGAAATCTTTATCTCAAATAATGTGCCAACAATTACAATAAATATCATTATCACATACCTGAGGTGGTCCTGAGGGTGTCACAGGAGAGTTATCCTCTCCAAAACTGAGCTTCTGAATACGCTGTGCAACTGAAATTCCTAATTCCTTTTCTAGTATTTTGGATGAAAAGGTTTGGAGATCATGCACACTTCTGATACCCAGAGCTTCAAGACGTTTGGTAGTTTTATAGCCAATACCTAGGCAAAAAAGAAATACACACAGTGTTATAATAGCTTTTCTCCTTAAAATAAAGCTAATTCAAGTATATATAATACACATCTTTCAATACCATCAAACACATCTTTCAATACCATAATGAATATTGTGCTAGGATTAAATTTTATTGAAAATTAGGCTGTCCTTCTTCTATTCAGGGTCTCTTAAATGAACCACTTCCAAAACCTAACAACCCTAGTACAACATAATGAATATGGAGATAACCAAGAAATGCTGTCTTGATAAAATGAAGTATTTATCACCTGTTATATAACACTTTGGAAGTATTCAAGAGTCATGGTTATTATTTATGCAAAGAAAGATTGTCACTAAATAAAATTAATTAGCATGTGCTTACTAGCTAATCTGACTCCTGCATATATCACACATTTATCCACAAGTCGTGGGGGAAGGGCAGAGACAGAAGGAGAGAGGGAGAGAGCTGTCAGCTGGAAGTCGAAGTAGGGTCTATCCCACAAACTGCGAGATCATGACCTGAGCTGAAATTCAGACGCTTAACCGACTTAGCCATCCAAGCACCCCTCTCTCAATTAAAAAAAAGAAAAAATTAATTCTACAGTCTTCTGATTTCCCTGCACAGTAAAAGAAGTAAATCAAAGCCAACTGGTATGGAGGGGAAATTATTAAAGTGGAGTAACAGGAGGGCACCTGGGTGGCTCAGTCGGTTAAGCATCCGACTTCAGCTCAGGTCACGATCTCGCAGTCCATGAGTTCGAGCCCCGCGTCGGGCTCTGGGCTGATGGCTCGGAGCCTGGAGCCTGCTTTCGATTCTGTGTCTCCCTCTCTTTCTGCCCCTCCCCCGTTCATGCTCTGTTTCTCTCTGTCTCAAAAATAAAAAACGTTAAAAAAAAAATTTAAAGTGGAGTAACAGATATGTTCACAGCTGAAATAAAAGAGGGCTGGCAACTTGGCAATAAGGAAGAGAAAGCCTGTAAAAAAAGAAACAAATCCAAGAACTCAAAAAATAAAGCCAAGTAATAACGTTATTTATGACTGTATCAGTATAGTCCTTAATTTATTACAACCGGACATAGTTAACTGTTGCAGACTCAGAAAACTACAAGCTATATGAATGAACAAAAACGTTTGTAATCACACATACAATACATGGATTAAAAATATGAAGTTATGACATCTGAAGGTTCAGTTGTCCTAAAAATTCATTTCCACAGAATTCTAACATTTTATTCCCCAGCAATGCCATAGAAATGAAGTTTAACACATCCCTTATTAATGGTCTATAAAAACATAAGTATTTGATCTTCAAAGACAGAAATTTGCCCCATGCCCTGAATACGTCACTAACCGCCTCAAGAAAACTAGTTTCTTCATCTTTAAAGTAAGAACTTGGTAGGGGCACCTGGGTGGCTCAGTCAGTTGAGAGTCCGACTTCGGCTCAGGTCATGATCTCACAGTTAGTGGGTTCGAGCCCCGCGTCGGGCTCTGTGCTGACGGCTTGGAGCCTGGAGCCTGCCTCGGATTCTGTGTCTCCCTCTCTCTCTGCCCCTCCCCTGCTCATGCTCTGTCTGTCGCTGTCTCTCAACAATAAATAAATGTTAAAAAAAAAAAAAGTTTTTTAAAACAAGAACTTGGCCTAAATGCTTTGCAAGGTCCCTTGTAGCCCTAATATTTTCTATATAATCCCAAAGCAGAGTTAGTAAAAGACCAATGCCCCTCTCCAAATGCAGTGTACAGTATAAGAATATGAAGCAGGGACTGAAAATAAAGGACCACGTTTCCAGGTTATAACTTTCATGATCATATTCAAACTATACTAAAATAAAGTAGGTGAAACTAGAAAAGCACTTTCATAGATTTCCTAATCCAGATTCCCTCCAGAGAACATTAGGGTTTTGGGTTTTCTCCAAGAACCAAGGATACAGGCTGTAAGAATTAATTACATGTATCTACAATTTTGAAAATTAAAGATATGCAATTAATGTATACTTTTCAAATATATATGTCTTACCAGGCATTTCCTTTACATGGTTCAAGCTCTGAATGAGAACTTGAGAACTTTCAGGTAGTAAGACTGTTTGTTGATTTGGTTTAAAAACACCAGAAACTAATTTTGCCAATAATTTATTAGAAGCCACTCCAGCACAGCCAGTGAGACCCAGTTGATTATACATGGCTTCCCGCATCTCTGCTGCAATCTGAGATCCAATAAGGAGTCTGACGTGCAAGATGTCATGCAGGTTTACATCTATAAAAACAACCAATGTCATTACAAGTCACTACAAAAAAATCTTAATTTTCTTCTTTAGAAATGAGTTTAAAAAAGGCACAGGGCTTAACCTACATCCAATCTCCTCCCCCACAACACCATACCACCATACTGCCGGCCATTTAACTCATCTGTTTTGTTCTTCATAGGAATTCTGTAAAGTAAAAAACTACCAGAAGTGAATTCCAAGTGACTGCGATAGTGAATGCATCTTGGGAGTGCTTAACGATTAACAAATGTTTTTTTAATTGTTTATTTTTGAGACACAGAGAGAAAAAGTGCAGAACGGGCAGAGAGAGAGGGAGACAGAGGAAACGAACGGGCTCTGTGCTGACAGCGGAGAGCCTGATGCAGGGCTTGAACTCATGAGATCATGACCTGAACCAAGTCAGACGCTTAAGCGACTGAGCCACCCAGGCACCCCATCAGTAGGAATTTTCTTTCTTTTTTTTTTTTTTTTTAATTTTTTTTTTTCAACGTTTATTTATTTTTGGGACAGAGAGAGACAGAGCATGAACGGGGGAGGGGCAGAGAGAGAGGGAGACACAGAATCAGAAACAGGCTCCAGGCTCTGAGCCATCAGCCCAGAGCCCGACGCGGGGCTCGAACTCCCGGACCGCGAGATCGTGACCTGGCTGAAGTTGGACGCTTAACCGACTGCGCCACCCAGGCGCCCCAGGAATTTTCTATGAGAGATCAAGTTTCTTAACCTGTTAATCATTAAGGGGTGCCTGGGTGGCTCAGTCGGTTAAGCGAACGACTTCAGCTCAGGTCATGATCTCACCTTTTGTTGAGTTCAAGCCCCGCATCGGGCTCTGTGCTGACCCTGAAGCCTGGAGCCTGCTTTGGATTCTGTGTCTCCCTCTCTCTCTCTGCCCCTCCCCTGCTCGCACTCTCTCTCTCAAAAATGAATAAACATTAAAAAAAAATTCCTACTGATATTAGTAAAACTTTTACTCATTTTTAACTGTAAGCAAGCATAAAAGTAAAAGTATTACATTAATAAGAGAGCTAAGATTACAGCTTTAAAGACCTGAATCAAAACATTACACACAGTAACTAGATGTGCTACTGAAAACAATTCTGAATCTGTACATAGTTTGAGAGATCTTTTATGAAAAGTGTAGGGAAATTATACAGAAACAAATTTTCTTGGGGGTGAAAATGGTATTAGAATTATATGAGACAGTCCTTATTCTCAGCAGTATTTACAGATGAAGTGTCACGACACCTGCAATTTACTTTTAAATGGCTCATCAATCAACCATCAATCAATAAAGGGGGAGCAAGATAAAGTAAAGGTAGCAAAATAGCACTGAGTGTATCTATAAGGAATGGTATAATACGTGTTCTCACAGTACTATTCTGTCAACTTTTCTGTAGGTTAGAAAAAATTTTTTAACAAAATCTTGAAAGGAAGGATTCATGAAGAATTACATTTTCTTTTTAGGATATAAAGCCTAGCTCTCTGTAATATGTACTAACAAATACTGAATTTACTTTAAAAATTATTCTATTCAGTCCTTATAAGTGACAACAGAGCACAGGTACAAAAGACACATGAAAAGCTTCGTGTTCTCTTCTAGAAGAGAGCTATAGCTCTATCTCCTTTTCTTTACTATCAGAGAGGCAGGGAACTAGACTAAGAGGACACACATGCTGAGATATAGGGGCAAGAAGGTCAGGGCAAATCTACAAATGCAGAGTAGTGTGTCTTCCATGTGGCATGATATAGAAGTCACCAGCAGAGTTACAATATTCATTGGGGCTTACTGATGCTTATTTTCAAATGTAAATATCTCTGGAAACACCATCAGTCATTCACACTTTAATATGTGAAGGAGATGGACCATTCTGCTTTCTTGCTAACAGCTGGCAAAGATTATCGAACTGACTGAATATGAGCTTGCAAAAGACGGCCGGTAGGCCTGGACAAGCTTCCATGGGGGTTAAATCAGGAAGTCAAAGAGCAACATGAGTGTCTTGATGCCTGGGGGAATAGAAGGAACAAGCAAAAAGACAAATTTAGTTTACCTCAAAATTTGCTTAAAGACAGTTTTAGGAGAATAAAAAATAGACTATCAAGGCAGTTCTTATAACTGAAAAAGGTATGGCTCTTAAAAACAATAACACACAAACTGTGTCAGAGAAATGAAAAGTGCATGGACCACTGAGCTACAGGTCACCAAAATCTCATTTTCTGCCTTCTTAACATGGAACACCTAATTTTAATCATTTTAGACAGACCACTGAAACTTGGCTATACCTCCAACAAAAGACATAAAATTTTCAGAAAGATAAAGTCCATTCATTAAGCTCAGTGAACTCAGTGAACATTAAGAAATGTAGGCACTTTTAGTTACTAAATAAAGAACTGACTTACACTGGTCATTATATACATGACCCCACACAGTCAGTGCTGAAAGTTCACCACTTTGAAGCTGCTGTCGTCTCTTCTCAACCATCTCTGTTAGATCCACAAAGTTTTCATCAAATCCCAGTCTCTCAACAACTGGACTAAATTCTTCCAACAACTCTAAATTGAAATAATAGTGGTGCACAGATGTTAACTAAGGCCACAACTAAAATAGATGTAACTATTTTATGCTTAAAAATACATCAGGCATGTTAAAGATTTCACCCTTCCACAATATCTTTTAAAAAGTCCTCAGTTAACTGGGAGTTTCTTCTGTACCACATTTTGAGTAAAGGCAATATTTTCCAACAAAGTAAGTCCAAAATGACATTCCCTGGGCAGATGCTCACAGCAATAGATTTAGCTCAATCTCCTATACCTAAAATTTCTATACCTGTAGTACATTAAATATTAATGCTTATCGTTCATTATGATCTTGAAACAGTGGGTCAAAAGAATAAATTACAGTCAGCCTAGAAAAGCAGAAACAAGTAATAATATACTCCACTATATTTTCCACAAGAGTTTTAAAAAGACAAAATTTAAAACTTCCAATTATTACTGAATCAAAAAGTCACTTAATTTTCAAAATATACTACAATGTAAGATTTTGACCAGTCATCCCCCAGCTTTTTCCTCAAGGGTAGATATGGACCATGACTTACATGTATTTGAATGTCCACCACCTAGCAAATACCCTGTCCTTAAGTCAAATGCTTGCTAAACTGAAGTGAACCAAGATTTGAAATAAATTCAAAAGGACAATTAATTCTTTTTAGGATTAAAACTAATAACTCTGTAATCACTGAGAAGAATTTTCACTTCTCTCTGAATCTCTACTGATACCAGTAGGATGGCAGAATACAAATTACTAGCCTCTTCTTATTTAAAAATGCATAAGCAGGACACCCGGGTGGCTCAATCAGTTAAGCATCTAAATTCAGCTCAGGCCACGATCTCACAGTTCATGAGTTTGAGCCCCGCGTCGGGCTCTGTGCTGACAGCTTAGAGCCTGGAGCCTGCTTCAGATTCTGTATCTCCCTCTCTCTCTGCCACTCCCCTGCTCGCTCACTCTCTCTCTCTCTCAAAAATAAACACTAAAAAAAAATTTAAATGCATAGGTTCTCAAAGTCCTATAATATGAAAGCTCAGAAATAAAAGTACTATGTCATTCCAGACAGATCGCTTTTTTACATAAATACTAAAAATACCTCTATTTTATTGATGCCGACTTGATAATATCATGAGAAAACAATTAATAAAGATAATGTGACCCAGTGACCACCAAAAATCACTTCCACTCTACCTAGAGAAAACTATTTATCTGTCCTGAGACTGACAATGTTTTTGATCACATAAAAGGATTCTTTTGCATTTCGTACATCAATTTCTGCAATTTTTTCGAAAGTATATACTACATAAGAAAACTAAAGGACAAGTTTTTAAATACTAAGCAGAAAAGCAAATTAAACACAAGAATCATGCACAAAGCTGGTGAATCACTGAACTGATTGATTATATGGGTTCTATTATTAGGTCACAGGGATAAATCACTTATCCCATTTCTGAAGTTAATAGTTTTTTGCTGGCAACTTCATAAATAAGATGCATTTACTAAACATGTAAGGCCAAAGACAGGAGTTTGTAATTAGAGAAAAAACTATCTAGACGAAAACGTATACATATTTTAGAAAAATATGAAACAATAAGATACGTTATAAATAGGTCAGGGATAAATTCAGCATAGGACTATTAAGCTATGTTCCTACTTCTTTTTTTTTTTTTTATTTAAATTTTTTTTTTTTTTTAACGTTTTATTTATTTTTGAGACAGAGAGAGACAGAGCATGAACGGGGGAGGGGCAGAGAGAGAGGGAGACACAGAATCGGAAACAGGCTCCAGGCTCTGAGCCATCAGCCCAGAGCCCGACGCGGGGCTCGAACTCACGGACCGCGAGATCGTGACCTGGCTGAAGTCGGACGCTTAACCGACTGCGCCACCCAGGCGCCCCGCTATGTTCCTACTTCCAACTCAAAAAATACTATGAGAAAAATTAACAAAATTACTTTTTCTTAATGCACAAATCATGCTTAGAATTGTTTTTTTTTAAGTTTATTTATCTTGAGAGAGAGAACCCACACACAAGGAAGGGACAGAGAGAAGGAGAGACAGAATCCCAAGTAGGCTCCATGCTGACAGCACAGAGCTGAGGTGGGGATGGATCTTATGAATCATGAGATCGTGACCTGAGCTGAAATCAAGATTCGGCCGCGCAACCAACTGAGCCACCCAGGTGCCCCCAGGATATTTGTTATTATATTATGCATTTTTTTAAAAGATCTTATTTGTAAGTAATCTCTACACCCAACATGGGGCTTTAACTCACAAATCTGAGATCAAGGGTCGCATGCTCCACTGACTGAGCCAGCCAGGTGCCCCAATGTTAGTGCATGTCTAATTCTCTCAAGATACTTGATAAATTAAGAATCAGTATAAAAAGTCAGACTTACCAAACTAAATTTCCAGTATGACATTTTAATTATGAAAAGGATGAAAAAATACAGTGGCATAAAAGTAATAAGGGAAAGACCGATAAGTCTGACACCATAAATAAATTTTAAAAGGTAAAATGCAAATTGGAAATATATTTATAATACATGGGTATCAAAGAGCTAATTTCTTTAACTTCCAAAAAATGATATAGGCCAATTAGAAAAAAAAGAGCAATCCAAATGAAAATCAGGCCCTATAGGTTATTCACAGAAAATATATGTATAAATGACCAAAATATGAAAAGATGTTCAAACTTAGTCATAGAAAAATTCAAATCAAAACAATGACTATTTTTTTCACCTATCAGGCAAAATCTTTACAGTTTGAGAATACGTAACATCCATATATACTAGCAATGTGCTAGGAAAACATCAAGTGCAACATTCAGCAGTGTTCAAAATTTTAAGTGCAACTTACCTTTGATCTAGAAATTTACCTCTAAGAACTTACGCTATGGGTATCTCCATAAAAGTATGACAGAATTTCTATATGAAAAAGTCTCCTGGAGCATATATTAGGAAGAGCAAAAAGTTAGTTAACAGCCTAATAATCTGTCACTATCAGGAAACCATGTACTTTATCTTCTAAAATAAGAAATTTTTTGAATGAAAGGAGGTGCTATTAATAATAGGACAATAGGAATAAAGTGGGACATACTGTCTTCATATCCCTAAAGGACAGGTTAAGTAAGTACGGAACAAAATACAATGTAGTACTGCACAGGTATTGAAAAGAATGAGGAAGAGTTACATGAAGAGGCACAATGATGCATAACCTCTTCTGTGTACACTAAAAATTATCTTAATATTCATATACACACAATTTTGCGTAGATGTACAAGCGACATTTTCGGAGTATAGGCTTGTCTTTTCTGCTTAGCTATCCTTTCTTCCCCCTTTCTCCCATTTCACCACTGCCACTTCCTCTCCAGAAGTTAACTAAGTTAAAAACCTAGTATATATCCTCTTGTTTCCCTCGTTTCCTGTTTATATATAGACATACATACCTTTTACTCAACAAGGAATATCTCTAGGAATCAAATAGTATACCACCAATGCATTGTTTTTAATGACTATATAATATTCCATCGTAGAGAAGTCTTAGTTTCTATTGCCATTCTCATCCTGATGAGCATTTGTTTTTGTTCCATATTTTTACCAATTACAAACCATGCTACCATATTTTGTACATATGTTCTCATGATTTTATTTCTATTGGATAAATTGCCAGAAGTAATATCACAGGGTTAAAAAACATAGTATCTTTAATTTGAAAAAACATTTCTGTATTTCTTCTTTAAAAGCTGTACTACTTTATGTTTCTACTTTTTCTCACATTCTTTATTTTTTGCAAGTATGATGGACATAAAATAATCTTACTAATTCAAATTTCCTGAGCCACTAATGAATTTGAGTATTCTTTTTTCACATAATTGTGGACATTGGGTTTGTTCTTTTTGTCAATTGCCTATTCATATCTTTTGTCCATTTTTCTGAAGTATCTTTTCCTTGTATATTTGTAAGGGCTTTTGGATATTATACTTAACAGATTCATCTGAAAACTGCTACAATTAAGAACAAGCAAAAACAACAGCAGAAAAGATAAACAGTTGGTTCTTATACATTTTTAAATTACATATATTTGCGGTATGCCAGTACAAATATATTTCACAGTTCCTATAATTTACTAAAACTCTAAGATTCAAACCCAAACCTTAGTATGGAGGAATTTGCCTATATTGTAGCATTTAGTATATATATATATGTATAAAATCCAAGAAAAAATTAATAAGATACCCATTATTTTTGCTAATAGCTCTTAACAAATCAGTGTCTAATTATGTTAATCAAACATTCAGAAGCCTCTCCCAACTGTTAGCACATTAGAGTACAGCATATGCATAATTCATTTAAACTTGGTTTTAAATTTAAAATGAAAAATATTTGAGGGGCACCTGGGTGGCTCAGTCAATTAAATATCTGACTCTTAATCTTGGCTCAGGTCATGATCTCACTGATCGTGAGTTCAAGCCTCGCATCAGGCTCTGCGCTGATGGTACAGAGCCTGCTTGGGATTCCGTCTCTCTCTACCCCTCCCTTGCTTGTGCACTTGCTCGCGGGCTCTCTCTCTCTCTCAAAATAAATAATTTAATTAAAATTTTTAAAAAAATTTTACTTGCTTTGGTATATCTTTCCATTTTCTCATTTCCAAATTTTGCTTTACATTTTTCTTGCATTTTTATAAACACCAATCACGACAGACTCCAAATTTCTTACAACTATACATTTTCTGTCAAGATTACTCATAACATAAAAAGTCATCCTCTTCTATATTTTTTAAAGCAGGCAAAAGCCAAAATAAAAGTTATTAGCAAAAAAGAAAGTGATTTATGGCATTTTATGTATTAAAAGATTCATGTAGTGAATGGGCATCCCATATACAAATTAATGCTGAAAGTGTATTGCCCATAATCTGTACCTGTAACCTTATATGACATCTCTCTGTAACGTGTCAAGTCTTCTCCATTAACTAATACCAGCTGTGGACATTTTTCTTTTGCATCTCTGACAGTCATAAGTTTCTTAACTCCAAGTTTCCTAGCTTCATAGTTGCAGGTAACCACCAAATATTTCTGCTGAACCCCTATAAAAAGTAAACATTTTATGAGAAAACTGAACAGGATTAAAGAAAATCTTAATATATTATTTACTAATTCCATAATTTTAAATTGTAATGAAATCTATTCTGATTAAAACGAAAAAGTGCTATTCGGTTAAAAAGTATAGCCTCGGGGCGCCTGGGTGGCTCAGCTGGTTAAGTATCCGACTTCGGCTCGGGTCATGATCTCATGATCTGTGAGTTCGAGCCCCGCATCGGCTCTGTGCTGACACCTCAGAGCCTGGTGCCCATCTCAGATTCTGTGTCTCCCTCTCTCTCTGCGCCTCCCCTGTTCACGCTCTCTGTCTCAAAAATAAATAAACGTTAAAAAAAAAAATTTTTTTTTTAAATATAGCCTCCATTCACCAAGGTTCTATAAATAAAATTAACAAAAATTATCATAAATCAGTATATTCTCAGGGCACCTGGGTGGCTCAGTCAGTTAAGCATCTGACTCTTGATTTCAGCTCAGGTTATAATCTCAAGAATCGTGACATCAAGCCCCGCATTGGACTCTGTGCTAAAAGCACAGAGCCTGCTTGGGATTCTCTCTCCCTCTCTCTCTGCACCTACCCTGCTCTCTTCTCTCTCTCTCGAAATAAATAAACATTTAAAAACTAAAAGTAAATCAGTATATTGTCTGGAGTCTTCAGCAAAAAGATAGAAACAAAATCCTCCTAGGGATTTTTCAGACAATATGAAACCAGATTAATTTATACTGAATTAACTCTTTATATAGGTCTAGGCTATGTTTCACCAAAAAATAAAGCAGATGAAAATAACTGAGTACAATTAATCACTGGTTTCTGCTAGAAAAACTTTCCAATGACTATAAAGCGATGTTCTATTATAAGTGCCAACCTACAACAAGCATGAAGGATCTCCTCCCAATAAATGTTGCAATTACTAAACTGTTCCCCAGAGTAACTTGCCGAAAAGATAAGGCAGTGAGGCATCATTAATGGGACCCCTCCTTATCAAAAATGACTAAATTATGACCATCTACAGACTACACAAATTCTCGTTTACTAGTGGTGGCTTAAGATTGCTGAAATTACTTTTCTCTTTACACAAGTTGACCATTTGTTTACCACTGTAAAAGTAGTGTTCATTAAAACACAAACATGTAGAAGAAAAAAAAGATTATGTCCACTCCACCAACGTAAGACATTTGTTTCTAAAACTTTGATATTAGAAACAAGGCAAAGAAACGTTATTTCATATAAAGATTTGTGACATATCCGACTATCCACAATAGAAGCTCTGGGTCAAAAGTAGTGATTTAAGATTCATCAGTGAGCTATATAAAAATCAGACTGGTAAGTTCCTTAACTTAAAAAGTAGTCTCCTAATACAGAATTAAATTATATGGACTCACTACTACTATATGTTACCAGCCCAAGTTAAATAGTCACATATTTGTTGAGTATAACTGAAAGACTACTTTCCCTTTCTCCCAGAAACTTTCAGCATCACATTTCTCACTTCCAGATAATCATTCATCCCTGTGTCTTAATTATACTATACTTTTTTATTAAGCATTACCTACATAGCATCTTATGTTACACTGCTACTAATTAGAAATGACTTTAGCAGAAAATTTTATAGCCCCTAATCCTAATTCCTTGACACCTTAAGAATGAATGATTAATCCCTCAGGATTAAAAATCCTAGACTGATACTGGCACACCAAAAACTAGTCATCCCTTTGTTCTTCCTTAGTAAATCAAGTAGGCTGGGATGAATTGGGATTTATCAAACACAACCTAGGCACAAGAGGTTAGCAGCTGGTGAACCAGAATTGTTCTTTACGCTTATACTAAAAGATAAATTCTTACTACATGCATAAAAGAAATTTTAGGAAGTTTAAATGACTTTTCCAATTTAAGACATACATGTAATAGAAATGCTAAAACAAGCCAACATATACAAGTAAACCCTCCACATAAAATCCCTCTTTGCCTTTTATTTAAAAAGATACCTGCATTTTTAGGAAAATTTTACACTCTATATGCCTCAAGTATTTAGGGTTCTGTTCAAAATCCAACTATTTTGTCATGTTACACAGTTCAAGAGTCAAAATCAAAAGGTGGTTGGGTAGGTGAAAATGTCATTAGAATGTAATAAGACATTTTTAAATTTTAACCATTGAGAAAAAGACTAATAGCTTATGAACTTTCTGTTTACGTGTTCAGTTGGCTATATACACTACTTGTGTAAAATTCATCATTTTCATCATTTATTAAATGAGGCTTAGAAATTTTACACTTACTAGAGAAGCCAAGTTACTGCCTATGAAGTACCTTAAGAACTGCTTCCAAAATCTTTAATATGGTTAATAAACCAGAATATAATCAACATAGTTAATACTCTTATACAAAATGAAAATATTATCAATGTCCAGAATTACCTAAAGGTTTACCCTTCAGTTCCGGATTTGATATCATTTCTACTTGTGCATAAAAGCAATCCAGATCCACATGCACTATGACTCTGGATGAAGAACCTCCTTCTGGCACCACTTGACCATGAACCAATGCACAATATGCAAAGAAATAGAAAAATATATTCAGGCTGCTTATCATCTCTGAGCAATTGGCAGTCCCTTAAGACATGGTAACTGAGAAGGAAGAATGAAGAATGATTTTAAGTTTCTTCCTAGATTTATGTGTCAAAGCATCTAAAAATTACCGACACGAGAGAAACTCCATCTATAGGAGGGTCTTCAGTCCTGTGTACTTAGTATTTCTTTGTGCACTGTATTTTTCTCAGGCTAGAAATAACTTTTGAGAGGGAAAAAAATCGATAATGGAAGATGAAAGAGGTAATCCTATCACCTGGAAATTTATAATAAAGTTTAGATTAAATCGCAAGGGATAGGTAAGTTTAATGCTGATTTCAACCAACTTAAAAAATTATCCTAAGTGGCATGTCCTTAAATTAAAAAAAAAAAAAAAAAAGAAAGAATCGTTAAATACAAAAGGGCAGAATCCAGACCTATGGGTTCCAGTAGACTTTATCTGGCACCCATATGAGGGCAGGATTATCTAGTTCAATGCTGAATCCCCAGTATCTAGGACAGGGCCTGGCATATAACAGACTACCAATAAATACTCGCTAAATTAAAAGAATGAGTAAATATTTCTTGAATTTGAAGAAGTAGCTCAGGTCATGGAGTGCGGAGGGGGATGAGAGAGGCGATTCCCGCTCTTAACCAATTAAAAACGAGGCAGGCTAAGTGCAATGTGGTATTCTGATCTGGATACTGGAACAGAAAACTAAGTGGAAAAAACTGGCAAACCCTGTATAGCGTTTGTACTTAACAGTATTATGCCAGTATTCACTTCTCAGTTTTGACATATGTACATCAGATATCAACATAAGTGACATAAGATATTAACAATAGGGAAAGCCGCTTCTGCAACTTCTGTGAGTCTAAAATTAATTCCAAAAATTAAAAGTCAAACGGGGGCGCAGAAGGGGGCAAGGAAGAGCCTTGGCCTCAGGCCCTGGGGTTGGGCAGTACAAGGCAGAGCCCTTATATTTCCAGAGGCCGAAAGTGGGTCCTCGAAGAGATGGCCACTGCAGATGTGCCTCGTTTTCGGTGCCGAGCCAAAATACAGCCCCAACCTCCGCCAAGTGGGCGACAAGGTTCTCTACTTCTGCAACCTTACTCAGCCCCGGCGCCTCTTCGGCTATTTGAGGAATCACAAATGCACCCTGGAATAACAAACTGATTCGCCGATCCCGTCCTTAGCTGTAAACAGCAGGTAACGAAGGGCAGCTCTCTCTACCAAGCCGTGAAAACGAAAGGAACAGAGCGAGGCAGGGACTGTCGCGCCCCAACGGCCGCCGCCGCCTCCCCTGGCCTCCGCCCGCCCCGCCCTTCTCATTTACACCAAGGGACGCCGCCGGGCTCCTCAGGCACCGGCGCATCGCGCGAGCAGCCTGCCTCCCCCGCCTCCGCCCGGTCCATGGCCTTAGCCGCGTCCTCTTCCTCGTCGCGGCCGGCTTCCTCCTCGGGCTCCACCCCCAGCTTCTCCATCCTGCTGCGGCCAACGACAGCGCAGTTTCCGGCCGCTTCCGCCCCGTCTCCAGGGAAACCAGGGGCCGACCGCCCCCAGTCGCTTCGGCCTTGGCGCCTGAGCAGCCCGGGCCGACCAGCCAGTTGCCCGGAGGGACGCGCGGCCTGGGAATCGTTTGGTCCCACGTGCTGAGGTTGCTTCTCGCCCGGTTGAGGCCGGAAGTGAGGGATTACCGTCACAAACAGCTCTTTTTTTTTTTTTCTCGAGGTCTTAGGAGTTAGTCCCATGCCACAAATTTTAACTTTTTTTTTAATCTTAACTGGGGCCAGCCTGTTCTCTCGATAACTGTTACAAGCAAAACTGGTAACACTTAAGACACTGAACGATTCGTGGTGATGGGGGCTAAGAGAAAGGGTGGGAATTATGGTAAGACCAAGGGGGCCGTGTGAACTGACATGATTAGCAAGTATGTTAAATATTGTTGCATTTTGTTCGTTGTTTGATTCAAAGACACTGACAAATTGGATCCCTGAATTCTTAATCATCTAAAGCGAATAGGATCATGATACATGAAGTTTTGGAATCAGATAAAATTTCCAAACCAGAGCCTCCAAACTTGCTAATTTTCTGACTTTGGGCAGGTTGCATAACTCCTTTGAGTTTCGGTTTCTCCACTGTTGGGGGGGACCGTTGCCTTGAGTGTCTAGAGATTAAGTGAATGAAAACATAGTTTAGTATTCCAATGCATGTAAAACACCTGACACACAGGGGTGCTCAATAAATGATAGTCGTCTTTGCTTTCTGTTAAGACGCTTGTGTGCCTCTGCGTGTGTGTGTGTGTGTGTGTGTGTGTGTGTGTGTGTGTGTGTGTGTGTTTGTGTTTTCCATAAGAGGAAATTTGGAAATTTTTATGTGTGTACGTACATATTTATACATATATTTACAAACACATTTTGCCTTTTTTTTTTTTAACAGAATTTCGATCTTACAAGTGAACCTTGACACTTGTCAAGGATGTGTGAACTTTGCAAACCTTTTAAAGGACATGCTGATGCATCCTTAAAGAAAGAGTAACGGTCAGAACTGGGGTTCAGTGGTTTGAAGACCAAGTCTTCCTCTTTGGGTATTTTACCCTTAGACATCTGGACCAGTTCTCTAAAACTCTCCAGTGTAGGATCTAAAATATTTAGAGCTATGCTGCTTTCTTTGTGAATACCATTTTATAACTGTAGATAAAGAGCTTTTCAATTAAGTGCCTCTTCGGCCCTTAAGTGCCTCTTGGGCTATCATCAGGGGTCCAATTACTTGCAGACAACAAAGGTATTTTTTTTTAATTCCCCCATATTGAGAATGATACAAACCCCTGAAATGCCATGGCAGATTAAAATAACTCCTTTTTAACAGCTCTAGGCTCAGTAACACTCAACAGCTTAAGCAAAAGTGAGCCAGCATTGAAAAACAACACACACAATCAAGCCCTATCTGGTTAGTTACATTTATTTCCCTGTCAATTGTCAAAATGAAGAGGGGCTTTTAATTTAGTAGAATAGATAAATGGAACTCAAAAACCCTCAGGGAGCAAGCAGGGCTGGTGCTTTTTTTTAACTTTTTAAAATTTATTTACTTTTTAATTTTTTTAATGTTTATTCATTTTTGAGAGAGAGCATTAGTCGGGGAGGGGTGAAGAGAGAGGGAGACACAGAATCCAGCTCTGAGCTGTCAGCACAGAGCCCTACGCAGGGCTCCAACTCACAGACCTTGAGATCATTGCCTGAGTCGAAGTTGGTTTAACCAACTGAGCCACCCAGGTGCCCCAGGGCTGGCTTTTTGAGTGTACAACTTTTACAGTAATACAGAGATAGCCCCATGCTTAGAAGGGCCCTGCGCTTGGTTTAGTGTTCTGCTGTTGTCATCTTGAAATTCTTAATAATAATTGAGCAAGGGAGCACTCATTTTTATTGTGCATTGTACCTCACAAATTATTTAGCTGGTGCTAGGAACAAAGAAGAGAAGTGGCATAGAAATGACATTAATAAAACATCTCTATGTCAGGCATAGGACTAAGAGCTTCAAACAGATGATCTCATTCAACATGCCCTAGAGGATAGGCATCATCATTCTCATTTTACCAAAAAGGAAACAGGCCAGCAGAGACTAAGGTGCTTACTCAAGATTATGAATCTAGTAATGGTAAATCCACCTGTCAGAGTTTTCCATAGAGAAGGATTTGTTAATAATGTTTCTTCCATAGAGGAAGTCACTCCCTCCGTCTTCCCTGGTGCTTCAAACATCAGATAACTTGAAGTAGGGAGAATAAACATCCCTCAAACGTATTAAGAGGCATAAAAATACAATTTATATGAGCTAGTATGTGTTGCTTTGTTGAGGAATGAATTGGGAAGTGCTTCTTTTATTCTATAAATCCCTTCCTCTATTTTAATTAGCTGGTTCTAATTGAGGATTATTTCAGGAAATAAACATATTGAGCCTAGATCACAATTGCATATTTAAGTGCAAAGTGAGAGAACTTCAAGGCAGAATAAACATATTTAATTAAATAAAACTGTGGTTGAAATAATATTCATGGGGAGCCTGGGGTTATAGAGTGTGACTAGCAGATTTAAAAAAAAAAAACACAACTGGGGACATTTACAAGCTTCAGAAGTCAAGACACCATGAACTTATGTACATTAAAAGTGACAAGCATGAACGCCCATGTCAGTGAAGGGTGGGAAAGTTACCACTGCCTGTTTCTCTCCTCCTAGCCAAATTGGCTACATACAGCTCAAAGGCAAAACTCTAGACAATGTTCAAGGGCTTTGACACAAAGAGTGTGAAGGTGTTTGTGAGTGTCTGTATTTTATGTTGGTAGGGAGTTAGGTATGTAGAAATTGACTGTAGGGTCAAAAGAACAATTTGAATTGGCAAAGACACAGAGAATTTGGTTTTGTAAGGTTTTTAGCCTAGTGCAGTGTTTCTCAATTGGGATTGATTTTGTCTGTTAGGGATATTTGGCAATATCTTGGAGATATTGTGGTGGTCATGTTTGCGGAATTGGAGTTCTGCACTACTGACATCTATCTAGTGTGTAGAGGCCAAGGATATTGTTGAACATCCTACAATGTACAGGGCACCCCTTCACAATAAAGAACTAGCCAGCCCAAGGTGTCAGTTGGGCCGAGGTTGGGCGCTCTGGCCCACTAGTAGCATTTACACTATCCTGTTCCCAACTCTCTCCTCAGCTTCAGGTTTCCAGTCATAATGAAGAACTGATCTTCAGATATGTGCTTTTAATTATAAATGGACGTTTCTAGAAAAAGGGGGATATAAGAGAGGGAGACAAGTATTATTTAGTTGCTTTTCATTGTGGGAATTTACGTTCTGAGGCTAAAAACAAATGCATTTGCTAGAAAAGAGATTTAAGAAAAATATCTACATTTTTATGGAGCTTGTGAGTTGCCCCTAGGGTGAAAGGCTGATGAGTCAGAAATAATTTATAAGGCTTAGAAGCTAAAACCAGAAAACACATAAAGGCTTCAGATGGTTGAAAGCAAACTATAATTATGACACGCTGTTGTACAATGTGCATGTCCTCCAGTATTTACTGAACTTTCATCCCAGGATCCCAAACTCTTTGCATGAAAACTTTAATTGTCATGAAAAAACCTTCCTCTCTCTCTCTCTCTCTCATTCTGTACATCCCATTGCACACCAAAGCTGCAGTTTCAATTTTTCTCTCTGTAACCTAAAAATATTTGCTTCATACCATGTGATTGTGGCTATGAGAAGGTATATGAGGCTGACGTTTTTCTAACAGCTTCTCTTTGCTTTGACCTTTCTTTGTGGTTCTGTAGAAGTCTGATGAAAAGCCTGTGTAGTTGTTTTAGTAATGGCATTTAAAACATTGCTTGTCAGGTTGTGCTCAGTGGACCTTGCTTTGTCATTCTGGAGAGAGATGGGGACCAATGTGATCATAATACAAGTCATTTGGTCCTCGTTTATAAATAACGTCTGCAAACTTCAACCACTGAGGGAAACAGAATTACTGGATGTCATATAGAAAATGCAAGCACATTGAAATAGATCAGGTTTACTGTATTAAATCGATAGACACCTCCTTTAATGTAATCATTTTTTTAAAAAGAAACCCTTTTTCTGATTGCAAAAGTATTCACGATTATGGAGAATTTGGAAAATATAGAAAGGAGATAAGAAAATAGAAATAACCCATAATAATCCATAATTTGGATGCTCTGAGATAACCATGCTTTAATAGTCTTTTCATAAATCACAAGTTAAAAAAAATTTTTTTTTAATTTCACAAATATATTTCTGCATCTATTTCTCTACCAAACCACAAAAACCGTTGTGAGATGCATTGCTGGAATAAATAACCTAGAAAAACCTTCATACATTTACTTGTTTTTGATGTTAATTTGAGGGAAATGAATAAATATGGTCTCAGCATCATCTTGGAAATGTTAATAATTTTAGTTTAATCAATAATCTTCATGTTTTTGGTTTGAATTTAATATAAACTCAAAAAGGAAAATGACATTTATATGTATAGGACTTATTTTTAAAGTTGATTCAAAGACTTCATTAAAGTACCTATTAATCCTGAAAGTACTGCTTGTGCCTCTGATTTTAAAAAAAAAATCATTTTTATTCTCATCCATTGTTTAAAATATTCTAGTAAAACAAAAAACATAAGGTATAAAATAAAAATCCTCCATAATCCCCACTGCACTTTGATATAACCATTGTCAACGGAGTTAACCACTATTAACAATATATAGATATATTGGATCAGATCTTTTCTTATAATGCTAAGGATAGGATAGACATAGTGATAATCATTTTTAATTTATATGAGTGGGCTCATATTGTACAGACTTTCTGCACCGTGTTTTTTCAATTAGTATCTCTTGAACATCATTTATTTTCCATGCATAAAAATATACTGTATTCTTTTTAGTGGCTGCGTTGTTTTACAATTCCATATTGATGGACACTTATT